ATTATGTAGATTGATATCAAAACATAATCAAATCATTCTTCTCATTCATTAGAGAGAATAGAAGATCTATTATATTCTAAGTAGCACTTATGGGTTTATATACGTTTTACATACGTTTTCTAAACGTAACTGATGTTTTACAAATATTTAAGAAGCGTATATAAAATCAACATGTGCTCCTGGGGACAAAAAAAAATTATTTTTTTTTCTCTGAAATATGACAAAATATTTTTCGTAGATTTTTCACGCTGAACACAATGTCGTGGCAGAATTGGCTCAGCACGTTAGGATTTTAAGTAAATTGGAATGAAATGGGCAAAAATGACGTTTGCTCACATTTAACACTTTTTTGCAGAAAAAAGGTAATTGGTTTTTACCACCCTTTGCAGTGTGGTGGCATCTGCATCAAGGTGGGATGCCATCTTTTCCATAACTGTTTTCTAAATTGGATAGTTTTCATTTAATTTTCGAGCTTTTTTTTGTGTTTTGGCAGTTATACATTCAAGAATAAGAATCGGTGTGCAATAATTCGAAACCATGGGTGACTTTGTTTATACAAATACCAGGTGTACAAGTATGAAATGCGGATTTGAGAAAACAGATGGTGCATCAATGCAGTGTGTGGTATAAAGATTTGACTGTTATGCAATTTTGAAGTGCCGTCAACAAGTGTCAGACGCGCACGAGTGATAAATTGAAAAAGTGTTTGCATAGTGTTGTGTTGCTGTGTCCGATATGTCGAAATTTATACCAAACAAAGAGCATTCGCGGACAGCATTAATTTTTTATTTTCATTTGAAGAAAACTGCTGCTGAATCATACCGATTACTTCGAGAAGCTTATAGTGAACATGCTCCATCGCAAGATACGTGTGAACGATGGTTTCGACGTTTTAAAAGTGGTGACTTCGATGTTGCAGACAAGGAACACGGAAAACCGCCAAAAAGGTACGAAGATGTGGAATTGCAAGCATTGTTGGACGAAGATGATTCACAAACACAAAAACAACTCGCAGAGCAATTGAGCGTTAGTCAACAAGCTGTTTCCAATCGCCTACGAGAGATGGGAAAGATTCAGAAGACCGGAAGATGGGTACCGCATGAGTTGGACGGCAGACAGATGGAGAAGCGCAAAAACACATGTGAAATTTTGCTTGCACGATACAAAAGGAAGTCATTTTTGCATCGTATCGTTATTGGGGATGAAAAGTGGATTTATTTTGAGAATCCCAAGCGCAAAAAATCATGGGTAGACCTAGCACCATCCATATCGACCGCAAGACCGAATCGCTTTAGCAGAAAGACAATGCTCTGTGTTTGGTGGGACCAGAAGGGTGTGGTCTATTATGAGCTGTTAAAACCTGGTGAAACGGTTAATGCTGGACGCTACCAACAACAATTGATCGATTTGAACCGTTCGCTGCTTGAAAAAAGACCAGAATACCAAAAGAGACAACACAAAGTCATTTTTCTTCATGACAATGCTCCATCACATACGGCAAAACCGGTTCGCGACATATTGGAAGCACTCAGCTGGGAAGTTCTACCCCATGCGGCTTACTCACCAGACTTGGCTCCTTCCGATTACCACTTGTTTGCATCGATGGGTCACGCACTTGCTGAGCTTTGGTTCGTACGAAGATGTGGAAAAATTGCTCGATGAATGGTTCGCGGCAAAGGGGGAAGTTTTTTACTGGCGTGGTATTTACAAATTGCCCGAAAGATAGGAAAAATGTGTAACTAGCAATGGAGCATATTTTGAATAAAGCTGTTTTTATCATTCTTCCGAATTTAACGTGTTTTTTTTTTAAATCCGCATTTCATACTTGTACACCTGGTAAACAACCGTAAAAATTGCAATTTTTCTGAAGAAAATTCATTATATCTGAAAGTTCTCAGAGTTTCCATGCCAAAGTTCCCACTCAGAGACTCATTTTCAAGGTTCTAATCGTCAGATTTTCGAAATTCAAAATGGAGGATCAAAAATGGCGTACCGATTTGTAAAAAGTGACTTGATCAGAATGAAACCGGGTACTCGGAGATTTTCGAGGTCATTGATTACGAATTTAACCTCAGATTTTCGAAATTCAGTATGGCCGATCCAACATGGTAGACCAAGTTGCGAAAAATGATTTGATTTGAATGAAAGTAGGTACTCGTTAGTTTTCGAAATTGCTAATTACAAATCTGGAATCGGAAAAGCAAAATTGCAAATTCCAGAATTGCAACCAGCGATTTAAAACTTACAAGTACCTAGTTTCATCGAGATCAAATCATTTTTTGCAAATTAATTCGCCATTTTGAATTTCAAATATCTGAGATCAGATTCGTAATTAGCGACTTTGAAAACCCTCGAGTACCCGGTTTCATCCTGATCAGGTCACTTTTTGCAAATCGATCTGTCATTTTGGATCCGCCATTTTGAATTTCGAAAATCTGAGATCAAATTCGTAATCAGTAACTTCGAATACTTCCGAGTATCTGATTTCATCCTGATCAAGTCATTTTTAATAAAAACGACATTAGGATATCTTTTTATAGTCTTAATAAAATGGGTAAATATATTAAAGTACAAAAGGATATTTGTCCTCATATATCTAAGAGCAAGTAGTTTAAAATTTCGTGTAATAATTGTAATGCGTCGTACATATATTGGACGGACGGGCAGATAATTGAAAACCAGAATTACAGGACATCGTAATCATATTAGACATAACACTTCTGTCCGTTCTGTCATAACGGAGCACAGGCTGCAGTATGACCATGATTTCCAATGTTAAAATTTTGGATGAAGAGCCTTGCTATAGGAAACGCTTAATTTCTAAGATGCTTAATATTAAAAAGCAGAAAAATAGTTTTAATTTACAAACTGACACTGAAGGTCTCCATAGGGCATATATAATATCTATTGTAAATAAAGTTTGACTCTTCAGGCGGAAACTGTTTCCATCATGTTGCCTTGTAATTTCTAACAACATATACAATGGGTTTATAAGAGGGTAACTGTTGTCGTCAAGTTGCTCATAAGAGTTAGTGGTAATAAAAGTCGGCAATCTATAACAGATAAAATCGGAAGTCGCTTTCTTAAATATTGAAGGCACTTTTATATTAAAGCTCAACTTTGGGGATTTATCCATATGCAAAATGCTGTACTCCTTATATTTTTTCTCATATGATTCTTATTTAGAGTAGTAATCCTCTGTCGGCAAAGATGCATAATGCTCGTGGATAAGTGATTTTCTCAATAACATTTTTTTAGCAACAAACTACAATGCCATCGAAAACATTAAAAAACTTTATAGGTTCGAGACATACATGCAACAATGAATAGATATTATTATATATGTTTTGTTGCCATCATATTTTCTTCATAATGCTCAAGATGGAATGATTAATCATTCATAACTGTTATATTGCTGTTATTATGCTGGCAGCATAACGTACAGCTATTGCTGACCGTTTATTGTTGAAATTTCATCAACTGATTGCATGCATAAGCAATCATAATGCTGCATTTATAATATGTCCCATTTTTATGTGGGAACGTACAGCAAATGTATGTTGAACATAAGGTAACGTATCAATTTGCTAAATCATGCTTGATTATCTGGATTCTTTTGCCATAAAAAAATGTTACAAATGGCCAAAAACATTTTACTCCAATGCATTTCGATTTACTCAAAATTTTGCCGAGCATAGCAAATTCTGGTATGGCGTTAAGAGCAAAAAAATCTTCAGGAAAATGTATTATCACACTTACAATAAATTTTTCTTGTAGCATTGTCTCATATAGATTACGTACCGATAGTATAAATATTAGGTAGTCCAAAACTGCAATGTGCAACTGAAAAAAATATATTACACTTTTATTATTATTTAATGAAAATATTTGCTTAAATTATTTATAAAAAAAATTTTATACATAAAATAATTATGAAAGATAATCAAATGCAGTTAATTGAAAAGTAATTTCAATATAATGTTGCTATTTAGATGTTACGTCCAGACTCCATAGTTCTTTCCTTTGATGAGAATTTTTGTTATCACCGTAAAAGTTATTAACAAGTATTATTGGTAGATCATCTGTTTCTACCATAGGAAGTTACAATAACGAACCGAATAATATTCGTCTTTATAGACTAATAATCCACTCGGGACGAAATTGTTAAATTAAATATTTGAACCAAGTGTCTGTTACGTCCGGCGGACTCGCACGACTCTTTTCTTTCGTGGAGATCTGGAATTCGTCGAAACACTAAAATTTTTTCTTTTTTCCTTTTTTTTATACACTAAAAACTAAAACGAGGAATCCGGTATCTCCTCGTAAATGTCGCCGAGATAGACTAAATTAATAATAAATATTATATGTATGGATAGCGTAAGACCGGCGCCAAGATTAACGGTCAAATCGCGGACGATTCTCGCGAATCCGTAATTACAAAAATCCAAGAAACGGTACGCGACGTTCAGGGGTAGATTCTAGGTGGTCTCATGGCGACGATGCAAGCGCGCTTTCTTGGTGCGCGAGACGTGCGTTTTCCCATAAATTTTAAGATCATAAAATTTTGGAGGACACTTTCCCATACTACAGACTCCTGTCAACAATCCTTTCCTCCCTCAAGATCTTGACCAATCCGAGAGCAAAGGAAAATCCTACCACTAGCTAACAAAACCTATTCCACCAATCCGAATTTGAATAATCGGGGGCGATTAGTATAAAAATCGTGGTTCCGCGGCCCTCGAGGTGATTTTTCTCTAAGTTTTGAGAGGCTACGCTAATTTTTCTCTAAGTTTTGAGAGGCTACGGTGATTTTTCTCTAAGAGGTTACGGAGATTTTTCTTTAAGTGTCGAGAGGCTACAGTTATCGCGATATTCAATAAGCTTATAGCCGATTTTCGAAGTTCTCTCTCGCCAGTAGAGTCAGTGCGTCTACTTTAAATCAACGACATTGCTCGATCAGAGAAAATCCATGAATCTGAGGCACAGCATCCTACGGTAGACGTCACCTTCTCCGACGTGTTGCCATCTCCGAGCAGTAAGTCTTGATTTCTCTACATTGGTTCCTCCCCTTCTTTCTTTTTTCTTTTTTTCTTTTTTTTTGAAGTCCCACTTTAAAGATTACAATTTTAGTGCGTTCACGCCGTTCTTTCGCCCCTCGTCACCGCCGCGAGGACTAGTAGCCAACTCGCTGCCCGTGCCCGACTTAACATCGCGATAAATTCGCGAGAGCAACCTTCAATTCAGCCATCGATCCGGGAACAGATTCCGACCGTGCAGTTTTCTATTGCAACACTCTCCCCACCGCTTGAAATTTCCTACTTCCCTGTCTCCAATCCGTCTCCAGTTTGCCCCGCTAATTTTATCCCGCATCCACCATCACCACTCCCGATTACTCAACTTCCCATCACTGATACTACCCCCTCAATTCCATATGTCCATCCCGATAGTTACTCTCCCGCTGGGCACCTTCCTCTCTTTTTCCATGATGCCCAATTATTAGAGTATATGACCTATTTTACTCCCTCCTATGATGATCAGGTAATTGTGAGCATCGCAGGATCCGATGGCCTGTTCTCGGTCCTCATACCATCCCTTAATCCCCTTGATCCTTTCTCTCTCCAACCGTATGAACCTACGCAGTTTTAATTTTTCCCTCCTCCTCTCAACTTTTCCCTATAAATTTCCCGAAATAATATCCGCATTCCGAGTTCACACACACACACATATACGCACACACGCACGTACGTACGCACGCACGCACACACGCACGCACGCACGCACGCACACACACAACGGATTACGTAAATCCGCATATATATGTTAGAATAAATAAAAATTGTATTTCTTTTATTATTAGTCAAAGAAAATGTATATTGCCTTTTTTTATTATACCATTATTAAATTAATTTCTCGGTCAATATTTATTATGAATAATCTCTCCTTGTATTCGTTAGCTCTGCCGCGATTGCACTTCGCCCTCTCTCTGGTTACTTGGATTAAGTTCCATGACCGAAAGTCAGGGCATACGGCCGTATTGGCACAACTGGCGTTAAAGTGTGCTTTCTCGGCACACTGACCCACACACACAGTTTGGGCCATTTAACTTAAAAGTACGTCCAACTCGTGTGTCCGTTTAGCGGAGCACGAGCAAAGGCTTCCACTTCGTCCTCCGCTCAACCCCCGGCTCGTTAGGAGCCTCAGGACGAAGCGAAGTGCCTCCCGATTTGCGTCGGTCCTTCCCTAGTACTTGCGGTCTGGAGCCTGGACACGATCAAATCGGTCTAATAATTCGGTTCCTTGTTGCGTTCACCCCCTCAGCTCCGCATGCGCGTGGAGCTTGGACATAACATGTCGAATAGAAGAACTTTATCCCGAGGAACAAAGAAGTAAATAGATTAAGGATTAGAAACTGAAACAGGAGTTGTCTATAATAAATGACACATGTGGCTCTAAACCATTGAACATCCGGGAAATGATCGATGACGAATGTTGTTTTAGATCCCATATTCCAGTGTCCAATTCACAACCGATACACCTAATTTTAATTCTAGATTAGACTAGTAACATACGCGAGGCCTGCACACGGCACTACTAACTCACGAATATAAAAAAAAGTCCTTCACGAACAAGCATCAGTCAAAATTCAACCATGAACCTTTGCCGGTTCACTACCAGTCCAGTAAAATTTCAAGTACTAAATACGACACTCTGCCGATCCGCGATCAGATCTATCAATCAACTTTGATTGCGATCCACGACACGATCGAATCATTCCAGTATCTCCAAATCACTTAGGTCCACAGGACATTCAGCCACGTACAGTCAGAAACCAGTAAGATCGACCTCTGACAATCATCTCTAAAAACCAAAAAACTGAGTAGCAGTAAGTCCCTCTTCAAGTTTTATGTATATACACATTCACCGCGAAGTCTAATCCGACTTATAATTGTAGTGTCACGCTTAACCAACCGCCCATACATTGGCTTAGAAAACGAGTGCACCTCGAAGCACGGAGACTCCTGAACCTGGCGTACTAGGAGGTTCTCGAAACCTCTCGGAATCGGAGTCACCCAACCGCGTTACCTCCACCACCTCCGCCACCATCAGCTTTACCGACTCGATCTATCCAAGAAGAGGTCGAAGTGATACCTCCTTGATCTTTTCCGCTTTCCCCTCGATTTCCTTCACCTCCTCCTTGATCTCTGTCACCCGCGTTTTCGAACACTCTGACGGAGCGAATCTTCTCTGACGCCCCATTTCCAATTCTCGATTCCGTTATTCAGTCTATCCCTTCATCACTTCGACCATCATCATCAGTCGATTCGACCTTGAGTATAGAATTTTTGGAAGAGTTTCTCGCTCCTCCTCTGCGTAATCATTTCTTCATTTATCCCGTGACTCTTTTGAGTCCTTAATTGACAGATTTCAATGAGCAACAGATGCCTATATAATTGGTCTTGATTATTTTGACCCGAATAAAATCCGAAATGCCATAGCTGGGCAGTCACTCCATGCAGCTATCCCAGTACACCTCCCGCGATTACTCGTCCCCTATTTCGTCTCCGTAAATTTTTTCTATAATCTCTTCTCCCCTTCCTCCGTCGTGATTCACAAAGTAAACTAATTTCCGTATCGCCTCTTCGTCACACACATACTCACACACCGAACTCAGATTCAAGCTTGCCATGATTTCTCACAATTGTAAGAGAATATTGTTGAGAGGCTAGGAGTGTGGATGCAGGCAATAATGACGACACTTCTTGAACGAATCGCTTTTATTAAAGAATGCACGTGGTTGTTACGCTTGCTTAAAAGTGAGTCGCGTGACGAGACCAATAAGAAGGAAGTGACGCGCGGCAGCGATACATAGTAGTGGCGGACAAAAAGGAAAACACATAGTAGCACGCCCTCGTAAACATGTGGGCACGAGATATGAGTAATGCGATTTGAATCTTACAAAAGAAAAAACATATAAGAAACAAATCAAAATATATAGAGCAATAATTAATTCTAACGATTAAGTCCAACAATTATATGGTATACATTATACATTGGTTTATCTAATAATCTTTATATTATTAATATAATAATTATCTAATAATCGACCACTGTTATAATACTTCTAATTTATGAATTTTTTTTTGTTCGCAACTCTGACTTGTTCAATAATTAAATGTGCAAAATATCATGCTCTGTTTATACGTAATTATAAGACATTTACTATCATTCGGTATATTTATGTATTATTAATAACTTATATTTTTTTAATTTGCATTGATAAGGATTTAAATAATTGGTCGAACGTATGCATATTTGTTAAATATTAATAAAAATTTCTGCGCACCGTTAACCGGGTTGGCTTTTAAGTGGCAATTTTTGTTTCTCTTTTTTTATATTATATACACATCACACGCACGCACGCACGCGCGCACTATAGTAATAATACTAATTATTATAAACGCGAAATGAATAGTTCATAAGCAATTTAATATTCTATTATCACACACACATCTGGTGTTCCTATATTTTTATAAAAATAGACCTTAGGAATTTAAATAATAATGTTTCTGTAATACATCTAAAATTTAGTGTTAACAATAAACTAGAATATTTCTAATGTGACGTGCCTTAATCTCTACATTTAAGAATCATAAGACTTCGTACCGACTTCCACAGCTTGTTAGAGATCACACATGTTCGGTCCCAAGTTATAAGAATTACATTCCTTGACTCAAAACTTGAACCGACGTTTGCACTGCTTGTTGGAAACAGGTGTTATAATGTCCCTTCAGGACTCATATTTTAGAACTGTAAAAGGTGCATTCGATCCCCTTCCCGCGGGGATGCATGCGAGACAATGCGACTGCTCACGTACTTCCATGCTTCATTTTTATTCCTTTTTTCTCTAAACCTATCCACACATATGACCGGAGTTTGGACGTAACATAGATATTTAAATAATTTGCAGGATTGAATATAGAAGTGTTTGTTCTATGTATTATATATTATGCGTATATATACGTTCATATTATACGATTACAATTTTATTTAGTATTAGTACCTGGTAAATGAAATTATATCCATAGTAAAAATATCCCACTCCAAATTTTACCTTCTTGAGTTTTATTTGGAATATAAATTGTAAAATCTAATTGAAATGAAATAATTGAATTAAATAATTGAAACGTGAGATATATCTTTTATGAAAGTTCGGATACACGCATAAACTCTATTAAATAACGACTATGTAAAAAATTAAAACACTATTATAAAACATCAATTGTGTTAACATCAACATTGTTAGACATCAAAGGAGCAATCTTAACCCTTAAGTTAAATAACATTTTGTTATTTATAACTTCAATATGAGTAAAAGTCCATCCATTTTCCAGTTTCAGAGTAAATAATGTTCGCATTAATAATTAATTTTTAGATAAATTTAAAATATTCTCTTGAGTTAAATTTAACTTCATTATTTTAATTAAGTTAACGGCATATTGAAAAAAATCAGTAGCCATCTATAGAAATGATTGAAAATAACTCAAATTGAATACAATTCAGCATTATAATTTTAAAAATAGATATATTCTTTTATATATTTTAGACTACTTGTACGTATAACACTAATTGCAAAAGTTTCATAAAACGTTTTCAATTTTATGTGCTAAAATGCGTAGTGTTTATTTTGTAAAATACTGATAGTATAACTAATAAATGACAAATATTTGTGTATAAAATGAAAAATGATTTATAAAACTTCCTAATCCACTCTACCTATGGCGTTAGCACGTATGAATAAGTATCCTAATGTGTATAAACAGATACAATTGCTGTTTTAATTATAATGAACAAAAACGGATGCCTGACAAATCAAATAACAAAAACCAATAACACAATTTTATAATGCTCCAATTTTTTACATAATCATTCGATGAAATTTATGCACATGCCCGAACTTTTATGAGCGCTAATAAAATTACGTATACAATAATTTTAATTCTTCATAAAATCTTGTCATTATTTACCAGACGACGTAACACCTCATCGCGATTATAATTGGACAATTTGTGAAGAATTACTACTGTCTCGTTTATCTAAAATTGTTTTTATACAGTATGAAAATTTTTAATAAAATTTTTAATAAACTTTTGCACTCAAAAGATTGCTTCATTTGAAAGAAAACTTCGATATGTGTAATTTTAATGTTGCAAAATTGTTGCTTGTGTTTTTAATTATACAATAGTTATAAATAATTTTAGTTATAAATAACTAATAATGTTTTAATTTTATCATACCTTATAGTAAACAGTTTGACATATGTAGTTTAATATGATAAATATGATGCTGTGCACAATGAAATTGGAAATATCATATAAGCCGTCTAAAGTATATTCAAATGTCCATGCTTGATCTCTGTATCGAAATATATCAGATATTTTGATATACATATGTATAAATTGTATGAAGAACCATAACGTGTGAAGTAACATTGGTATTTTGAATATTTTGTTTAATTTGTTAGATATAAAGCATAGTTGTAAGTGTACGTGCCTATAAACAATTCGTAATTGTTATAATTAATCAACCATAAAGACAGGAGCGCACGCATGCACGCACGCACACACACGAGAAATACTAATAATAACCAAAATATTATTTATTATCCGAATTCGATTTAAAGGACAATATAATTTGTGATTGGTACAAAATGTGTGATTATGTTAAAGTTAATTATTCTTTTGTGTGTGTGCGTGCGTGCGTGTGTGTGCGTGTGTATGTGTATGTGTATTTTTTTTCTGTATGTATACAGAGAGTTTGGAAAATAATGTTAAATCTTTCACATAAAGGCAAAATAGACTAAACTATTATACAATAGAAAAGAAAAATCCTCTACCATTTTACGATTTTAGCAATAGTTAATAAGATTAATTGCAAAAAATAAATTGCCGACAACTTTGTTTAATATTGAAACATTGAAATTGATAAATAAAGAATAATATTGGAATTGATGTTTAATATTTTTTTACTCAAATACTATCAACTTTACAGAAAAATTATAACAAACAAAAATTATTTATTTTCTTCGCATAAAATTCTAAGAATTTTTAAAATATTTTTTATTAACTTTTTAGAACTGCATTTTTTTATTTTTACCAACATGAAAAAATACAGTATTAAAAAATTCTGAAAAAAATTCTTAGAACTTTATGAAAAGAAAATAAATAATTATTGTCTCTTATAATTTTTTTGTGAAGTTGATAGTATTTAAGTAAAAAATTATTGAAGACCAATTTTCAGCAATTCTGCTTTTATGGGAAAAATTTATCATTATTTTCTAAACACCCTGTATATAAAATGTTCCATTTTAACTTTCGCTTCAAGGAATCTCGAAAAGTATAAAAGATACGAAGAAATATTTGAGGTAAAGGAATGATTTTGTGGGGAACCTTTTACTCCCATTATTTTTGTTCTAGATAAACTTTTTTAGTCGCCCATAAAACATAAAAGATTATTTAACTTTTTTAAAATGGAACTATACAGTTGTTTTGAATATTACATTGCACTTCTAGTTATACCTCTAGTTTTACATATAAAAGTAGAAATATAAAAAAATCAATAGCTTATGAAATATTTTATACTCTATTTTGATGTATATTGACATGAAGCATTAAAAAGGCTATACCTTTCTCGGTTTCAAAGAATTGATTTTTTTTTAAATTGCATTTTTTAAAAGATTAACATTTTAAGAATATATATTTGAAGATGTTTGAAGAAATTCGAAAAGTTCATGAAGTTACAGCACTTTATACTGACCGCCGTCTTGGTCTTCCGTAAGCCGTTACGGAGGAGCACGCAGGTAGTGTCGTTACACAACTGATCTCTTCATTGTAATTTAAATTAAACTTCGTCTTTGTGTAGTAGGTACAAAATTTTTTCGACAGATGGCTTTTAGAATGTTTTTCTGAGTTTTTAGGTTATATATTCAGTTCTTTAGCATCAATTCGCTGCATCAGTGTTCACTCGCTTCCTGTACATCTTTCATACCGATCTTTTTTCCATACAATCAATATCTTTCGTTTTATAAGCAAAAAACGTACATTTTATAATTATTCGATATTTTTTCGCATATAATATTTTCTTTACCAGTCTCGAATCTCAAACATACGCATTTCTTTTCTAATAGCCTTTCGAAGTTTTTCGTGAAGAGAAATGCTGGTTTATAACTTTTCCATTAAAATTCTACTTTTCTATTGAACTTCTACTTTTATTACTTGAGTTTATGAAAGAAATATATAACAAAAACATGAAAAATTTTAAACAATTACATATCTTGTAAAGTGTTACGTTTTAATATGATTTATACTATTCTGGATTAAGAGAGTTATAACACCGTTACTACAATATTTTATATTAAAATTTATATGTTATTAAAACCTCTCCCTCTCTATCCTCTGTTGCTTCGCGTTTCATCGCGTCACATTTAAACGAGATTGATTGGTGTGTTTGCGGGTGTATGCGCGTGTGTGTATGTATGTGAGTGTATGTGTGTGTATGATTATTAGTTTATCTCTTATTGCATTGTCTTACTCGGGTTCTGTTACTAATAGGCTTTGTAAAAGCAATTTTGCTGACGCCTAACCATTTGCAAGCTACTATTGTTTTATGTTTATGTTAACTATAGTCTACGAGTATTACAATATATCATATTTTATGTCTATTACTCTATTAATATGTAGTCTTTTTCATATATAATATATAGCTTTGCAATAAACTAAATTAAATTAAATTAAATTAAATTAAATTAAATTTAGTTCGTCCCTTATTGATGACCTAGAGCTGCCAAGCGGCCGAAATTGTCAAGAAAACATTTTCAGTCACTTGAAACAAGCGATTAGTATGAAAAGAAGCTCGCTATTTCAT